GGGGGGGGGGGGGGGGGGGGGGGGGGGGGGGGGGGGGGGGGGGAGGGGGCGAAGTTGCGGGTGGATCATCAAGAATCCTTCGGTTCATCATTTTGACGGTTTCAAAATGAACGAGGTCCGACCATTGTTTGTCGTATCAATTGTTCTTGTTTCGACGCGGTACCCTTGAAGTCGCGACATGCTCCAACGCGTGAGCATGATAATCGGCGCATCGTGCGAACAGCACTGCGACGTTTCTGTCATCTCGAACGGCGTCATCAACGAACTACCGATACTTCATCGCGCTCGGTGCACACCTAGTCGGTGTGCCGTCGATGATGCAGCCCGATAGACACGGTCCCCACATTATCAGCAGCCTTACCAAGGATGCTATAGAGGTCGACCGCGACAGCAGTCTGTACTTCGTGTGCTTTCCGGAAGGTTTCAAGCCGCCGCCGCTGCCGCCACCGCGGCCGATCGGCAGAGACGACGTCGGCGGAAGAGCAGGAGCGGAATCGTTTTGCGGGACCGACGAGTTCGTGTACCAGCATTTTTTCGCCGATTTCGGGCCCCTCCACCTCGGGCATGTGTGGGCTTTCTGCAGGAAGCTTGGGGCTCTGGAGCGGCAACAAGGGCAGCAGCACGAGAAGAGGGATGGTGATCGTTGTGAGGAGAAGAAGAAGCCGGTGTACGTGTATTCGAGCGATCACCCGCATCGACGGTCGAACGCCGTGGTGCTTGTTGTGGCCTACGCGGTAAGTGGTAAGCACATCGTCCATTGAAAAATACTTGAGTGTGCTCCCGTAGCGCTGACCAGCGATGAGTATGGAATTTCAAATAGACTAGTGCTGGTATGTGTAGAAATACTGTTGTGCACTCGAGTTGGGGGGTGCCACTCCCGGCGGTGTTATTTTACGTCACCACCAGGGCAGGTTTGTTTGCTTGTCGCCGAAGTCGTCGTCGAAGTGCTTTGTGCTGATCCCATCCCGCAAGCAGATATTGTTCTCCCATTCCGTCTCAACACTCGAGAACTTCTGCTTGTTGATATCTTGCAAAGCAAGCACCCAATAGGCTAGTGTGTCCTTCGCGCCAAGGACACAAAAACCCTTGAAGATTGCACAATAAGCAAGCGCAGAATAATTGATTGGTCGAAGACACGCACACCTACCTCCTTTCGATTGTTTACATGCCGTCCGTACACTACCGTATATGACACAAGATAACATACCCCCTTTACCGATTTTCGAAGTTCGATTTCTCAACTGCTGGAACAATCCAGTGCCGAAAACGGCGGCAATGAAACCGTCTCGTCGAGAGTCTTTCGCAAATGTATAATTTCGTTTATGCGTCTTCATCGCCGTGGAGTAATCGAGCTTTGAAAATCGGTCCAGGGGGTGTTTTATCTTGTGTCGTATATCGTACTCTGTAAAACACTTGTCAAAGCTTAGCCCCACAAGCAGCCGCGTGAAAACCTATCTATGAAGATACATACGTTGATGACCGAATTAGACACCCAATATTTTTCGCCTGAGGTAAGAATAACTTGAAATGCTCCGAACCGCCCCACAGGTGCTATGCTTGGGGAAGACAGTAGAGGACGCCTACACCCCGTTTCTCGGGGTGCAGCCACCTCTCATCCCGTACCGGGACGCTTCGTTCGGCATCTGCACCTACCACCTCGAGGTGCTCGACTGCGCCCGCGCCCTTGCCCACGCCGCGTCGCTGGGTCACTTCGACTTGGGCACGTTCAATGCTGACCAATACGCCTTCTACGACAAGATCGAGAATGGGGACTTGAATTGGATAATCCCGGGGAAGTTCGTGGCTTTCAGTGGGCCTCTCGCGACGTGAGCAGGGCTCTTCTGGCGACCAGATGTACATCCACATACATTTTACGTCGCGGATACTAGAGCTACAACTGATAAAGTCGTGGCGAGCTTAGTTTCGAGAGGGCTTGGAACCTCCGTCGCAACACCCATTTCACGCTACCGCTCGCCCTGCCCCCCCGCTGTCCCCGCTGATCCCTCGTGGCATCGCCCGTCTTGCCGACCACAACCAAACGACCACTGGCATATCATCATGGTGACGAACAACGACTTGTAGCCGGCGAGAGGTGGAACCCGGGAAATGGACGCTGCTCGCCGAGGACTACGTTCCCATATTCCGCAAGCTAGGGATTACCTGTGTCGTTCGTTTCAACAAGAGGTGCTACGACAGGCGACGTTTCACGGAGGGGGGCATCAGGCATGTCGACCTCTTCTACGTCGACGGGGGCAACCCGTCCGAAGAAATCCTCCAGAGATTCCTCAAGATCTGCGAGACTACGAAGGCGAGTGACTCTACCTACGTACGTGTCTCTACCATTGAGTCTCGGACCTTTCCCCTCTACGTGTCTGGTTGATCGAGCTACCCGTTTTTTTTTTTGTCTCGGGGGATACACCGAGACGATAGCAGTGTTGCGGTGTTGGGTATTGCGGCTAAACACGTCTCGTTGATTTTTCTGTCGTATTCTGCCAGCAGTTGATCGTGTCCGCCCCCAGCCCTAAAAGCGGGGGGCATAATCAGATCGTACCGAGTCTGGATAGTGTAAATCTGGCCTCGCAACAACAGTGTTTTTACTGCCTGACGGAAAGAAAGGTCGACCCCGTGGCTTGTGTCTACCAAGAGCAGAGACGTGCTACGACAAGGAAGCCATGAGTATGAGCATAGATGTTCCGGGCAACTGATGATGCTCATGAATAGTAATTTGGCTGCTCTTCTCCCAACCCTGTACTCCTTCGGACCTCGTTTCTTCGCCTATCGTTCTCATGTTGACGTCGGACCGGCTTTGCCGTTTGGAAACAGGGGGCAATCGCCGTCCACTGCAAGGCTGGGCTCGGCAGAACCGGAACCAATATCGCCCTGTACATGATGAAGCACTACGGCTACACCGCCGCGGAGTCCATCGCGCTGTGCCGTATTTGTCGCCCGGGGTCCATCGTCGGGCCTCAACAGCAGTTCCTCCACGATCTCGAGCACCGCATGAAGAAGGAAGGAGATGAATTCCGCCTTCGACGTCGAAGCGGCGGTCAGGGCCGGGGTGCCAGCGTGGAAGCGGCCGGTGGCGTCGGCAGCCCCAGCGGTGCCGCAACAACGGGGGTGTCCCCGCCCCTGTCGCACCCCGGCAGCAGCCACCGTACCGAGCGCCGACTTCCCAACCGGCGGCACCAGCGGTACTCGCGGGAAGACTCCGGCGCGAGTGGCGCTGGTCAAGGCGGGGAGAGGCCATTAACGTCCGTTCCCACCGGCCGCAGGCCGACCACATCCCCGCTGCTCATGCGGCGGCACAGCACGACGTACAGCGGCGGCGGCGGCGGCGGCGGCGGCGGTAGTCGATATGCGACGGGTCCCCTGGGATCAGGTCGGCGGAATGTAGGGAGGCGATGGGACACGGTGGAGGAAGGCCTGGAGATTCGCGGCGGCGGTGGCGGTGGCGGTGTGTGGGGGGGGGTCCGGAGTATCAATGGCGGTGAGAGAAGGGGAAGGGGTCGTGGAAGACGAGCAGAAGGTCTCCAGCGCCCCCGGAGGGGGAGCTCGCCCTCGGTAAGCATGCACAACGGGGGGGGAGTGAGCGCGGGCGGGGGAGCAGACGTCGGGGACTTGATGGGATCCCTTCGGCTTGATGGCGTCAACGGAGCTGCAGCCGGCGGCGGCGGCGGCGGCGGCGGAGGTAGCACAGATCGGGCGGCGGCCGTAGGTGCTTCTACCACTCGAGGGAAGCTGGCGCCGCTGGCTGCATCGTCTGTCAGGCCCACCACCAGCGCCTCGGCGGTCAGAAATGGAAGGAGGCTTTCAGCCCCCGCCCTGCGGCCGGAGGAACTGACACGAGCAGGCGTTGCCGGCACCGCCCCCGTTGCTACTACGACGTCGCCGTACGCTGGCAAGCCGGTGGCAGCGTCGGGCAGTGGCGGGTCGAGTAGAAGCAGCAGGAGTAGCGTCAGAGCCGCGGCAGCCCGGAGAGCAGTAGCGCCGGGCAAGGCGTCCTTGGCTTGGCAGCACCCCGTCGACAGGAACAGCAGCATAGGGAGGGGTGAAAGGGATGGGCAGCACGGCAACCACGCTACGGGAGGGGGGTCGTGGGAGGCGAACGACTCTCCTTTGCTTGGCGTGGATGCTCGCGAGACACATCGATAGCAGTCGTTTGGCCGGTGTGAGTGCGCTGATAGATGCCCCGATAGATGAGCACATGCAAACAAGTATCGAGGCTACGTTACGTCATTGCGCCGCGTCAAGTAGCCTGGCTTAAGGTGGGCTTGTCGTGGATACTATTCGGTAGAGATATTGTGAAGCTGCTGATGGAGAATCCTGTTTTTGTGTATGACCCCGTGGAAATAGGTATTCGCGGCATGTGTTAAACCGCAAGAGCTTGCTCACGAAGTCCGCCTCTGACTCCACAAGGGTGGTTGTGCTTCTTTGAAGGTCGCGGTAGAGCGATTCAAGGTTCACAGCTTGACTGCGTCGTAGCCAGAACGGTCGGGTCGCACCGTGTCTTACTACTCGTCTCTTGGCATAGGAGAATTGATTGTTTTCTACCTCGACTGGCGACGCCGGACCGCACTGAACCAATCTTATTCTCCACCCCCCCCCCCCCCCCCCCCCCCCCCCCCCCCCCCCCCCCCCCCCCCCCCCCCCCCCCCCCCCCCCCCCCCCCCCCCCCCCCCC